CTTCAGTCTGGAATTTCAGCATCAATTCCTGCAAAAAAGGCAATGGAAGCACCCTAGGGGACTCTATGGAAAACTCACTCAGCCCCTCTCTGGCTCCTACGGTGAGACCATCCAGGGCCTCCCCAGGACTCTTTTTGGCTCTCCATGTATCCTCTATGGTGCGCTAGTGATCCTGCCGTAGGCTGTCCAGGTCAAACTCTCTTGCTCCAAGTATGTTAAATCTATAGTCTTTAGATTGGTCTGTTTATAAAAGTTTAAATATTTTGGGCAAGTATTTTATGCAGTTTCATAGTATTTTGGGTCCTGAGGGTATATGGAACATTTTGCCAAATTTCTCAGGAGTTATTAACCTACTTTGGGTCCTGCACTCCTTTGAGAATCTGATAAAAGCTATGCATTCTCCCCAGAATGAAATGCATTCACCTAATTTTCAGGGATTCAATGACTAAATTGTGTCTTTGGACAATGGATAAAAAAATTCATTGCCATGGAGTTGATTCAAATTCATGGTGATCCCATGTGTGTCAGAGTAGAACTGTGCTCCATAGGGTTTTCAATTGCTGATTTTTTCGAAGTACATAGCCAGGCTTTTCTTCTGGGTGGACTCAAACCTCCAACCTTTGGGCTAGCAGCTAAGTGCATTAACCATTTGTACAACCCTTGGACAATGGACAGACCCCATGTTAAGAATCCTTGACTTGTAGGGAGTCCCCAGGGCTGGCTTCCCTGTTTCGGATTTCAAGATTCTGATAATGTACTTTAGGAATATCCCCGAGGGAAAAGGAATGGCTTGAATCAGTCTTTATGGGACTGATTGATATTCAGTGATCTAAGAGAGGCTTCCAGTGCTTGAACCTGGGGCCCGGGAACATCCTGGATGACATTCCTACAATGTCGGAGATACACCTGGGTAGTTTCCATGGCTCTATGGGAAAGAAAAATTTTTGGTATTTCCAGGTCAACAAACATCTTAAGATTTATGTTATTTTAACCATCCAGGGAGAGATGAAAGTTTCTAGAGCCTGAGAATATTAGATTCTTTTTGAGTTTCTGAAGGGAAAGGGTTTTCATAAATTCGTTAGCAAAAGATCGAGTTTCCAGAGTTCCAGCACTGTCCTCAGCCCATTCCAAATGTCAAGGTGAATCTGCTTCCAGAACCCAGGGTGCTACATTTTAAACATCAAGGGAACAAATGTAGCATCCTGGGACTCCAGAATGCCATGCAGGCAGGCTGCTGAGTCTCTAGAAAGGGAATCAAGGAACCTTCTGTTAAATAAAGAATTCCTGCCCTGAGGGCTGATGAATACCCTGGAGCCAAGAGGTCCCTTGCTGAGTCTGGTTCAAGGAGTATAAAAAACATGACAGTTGCTCCTAGTCAAACCTGGGGGGAGGGGGAGAGGCCTAGTTTTTCTGAAGCTGTGAAATACAGAGGGGAGGAGGCTCCAAGGTCTAAGCAGCGAGGTTCAGATGACCAAGAGGAGGCTTCCTAGAGCCTGGTGATACAGCTACAGTTGGGTTCCCAGGCTCAGTACATTGACGGCTGGCCCTTGGTAAGTATTCTCGTAGGAGAATTGACACGGCAGGAGCCTGAAGTTCTTGGCAGAACTGGCTCATAGGTGGCAAGTGGGCCACGGATGATGTCAGGGAAGTAGCCTGCCCTCAAGGAAGTCAGATGAGGGGTTGACACTAAAGTGGGCCAGGCTAGGGGTGAGCCTGGAAGCGGTGGAAGTTTGGGCAAAGGTAAGTGGTTAGTAGGAACAGCTTACAGCAGAGGCATTGAGTACTGGCTGTGTGGTCTGCAGCAAGCTGCTTAACTGCCCCCAGAGGGATGTTGGGATGCTTTAGAGTTACTGTGAGGATATTTACACACGAGTGCCTGGCAAGAATCTGAGGTGAGAAGGCCTAGCCCACTGTCATGAGGCCTCACAAAGATATCATTTATATTGGTGAATTTGTCAAGGGCCAAGATTTGGTCCCCAGCTTTAGCTGAAAAGCTTGCTTTTTTTCTGTACAGCAAACACAAAACTGTCTCTCAGGAAGGGGGCTTCACATTAACCAATCTTACAAAAACAAATACTTTGACATAAACCAGAATGATATTTATGAATTTACAAGAAATGTAAGTTGGCCGACCAATCATGCCAATGTGGCCATCTCACCTGTGGGCAGTGCTCCCTGGGCAGCCCCATTATTACTTCAGCCAGAGTTTTAGGTAGTGCACCCTCTTGGTGGCACCCATCTCTCCCCAAGAGCTAGGCAGGCCAGGCACCAGGAGGCACTGTGAAGCTGCAGACGTGAGACATTCACTGGGTTCACTTCCAAAGTCAGAAGGCAGCAAAGGACCGAGAGTCTGGACTGGCAGGCAAGGCTGATAGATAGATCTGGACAAAAGTCAGAAGTCCAAGGAATTGGGCAACAGGGACCAACCACAGCAATGTCAGGGTATCCTAGGTCAGGGCCTCAGTCAGCCTGTGGTGTGATGGATCACTTTTGTGTGGCCTTTCTCGCCATGGTCTTGTAACTCCCACCCAAGTGATTGAGTAGGACTGTGCAAATAAGGTAATTGTGGCCCGCCAAGGACTGGTCAATTTTGCCATCCCACTAGGCTTAAAATGAGCCATCCCAGAGGTGGTGAAGACAGGATCTCACCACCACCAAGGAAGAAGAGCCAGGAGCGGAGTGCATCCTTTGGACCTGGGATCTATGCACTGAGACCCTCCTAGGCCCAGGGGACAGAGAGAGCTGTAACACCGAAGATGGCAAAATGGCAGCAGAGGCAGCAAAACCAGGAGACAGTACAGTGGGCTTCCTGGCACATGGAGCAAGAAAGCTGAGTGCCTGTGGGCAGGAGACTTGCTGGTGGAGTAGTGTGCCTCTGGGCATGGCTAAGAGGCCGTCCTGATGGAAGAACTGTATCCTGAGTGTTCCTGAACCCGAACGGTAACCTGTTACTTCCCTAGTAAACCCCATAACCGTGAGTATGGTCTGTGAGTTCTGTGTGGCCACTGCAATGAATTATCAAACCCAGAAGAGAAGTAGAGAGTGCCCTGGGATGGACAGTTGGTGTCAGAATTGGTATAGATGGCAGAGAGAGGACGCAAGTCTGACTTCTGCCTCAGAGGAATCAGCCTTGGGCTGTTGATCTTGATTCTCCTTCCTCCTTGTGAAGTTACAGGTCAGACACCACTGCCACACATTTTTACACAGTCCTAGAAGGGTAATGACAACAAAAGGAAACTAGGGCCAGAGCCCTCAGTGTGTCTGGACTGCTCACTGGGACAGAGGACATCACCAACAAGGGAGCCTGGCCAGACAGAGGTAAGTGAAGGCCCACCAAGTCCCCAGAGGCTGGCAGCGCAGGTCAGGACCAAGAGGAGAAGTTCTGCAGTGGTCCTGGGTAACAGGCAGTTTCCTCTGAGACATCAGAACACTGCCATGAATGATTTCTGCATGCCAAGATCACTGCCACTTGAGGCTTCTGCCCAAGCCTCTGCCAGGACAGCACAGGCTCCCAGGCTGAGATGCCAACTCGTCCCACATTGTCAAGGGGGCGTACCCAGTCATGCACCTGCCCTCTCCTGGGTGTCAGGCATCAACTCTCAGCACCCAGTTGAAATAAAGTCAAGAGAACAGGCAAGAAGGCTTTAGACTTCAATAACAAGAAAATAATTTGAAGCCAAGCCAAAAGCTGCCTCAGTCAGCAGGTCTCAGATATTTCCTGCCGAGGACCTTAACTAATTTCAGAGTGTGGGTCTGGCTGACACATGGAGCCAAGAAGAGACACCAAACAAGGCAAACCCTACAAAGTAGACAAAGAGAAAGCACTGAAACTTCAGACACTTGATACAAAGACGAATCAGATATGGATCATACCTATAAGAACCCCACACCTTATAGGGGAGAGAAGACAAAGACGGGGTCCTATGTTGGATCTGATTAGAGGAAGCTGAGAAACATGCCTTTGGGGGTTGGGGAGGCCTTGGCTTCCAAATCCAAGAAATGGAGATGAGGAATGGATTCTATGAAAAGAGTGAGGTAGAGTGCTTATGAGTTTGTGGAAGTGGTTTGCTTCCAGCTGAGAGGATAAGAAGTTTCAGGGAGGAGGCAGCATGTCTGCTGGACTTTAAAAATGGTGTCTAGGATGGTGACATAGGGCATGTTAACCAAAGGAAGACTATTAACAGAGGCAAAGAGAAGTGTGAGACTTCTATGGAGAATACAAGAAGGTAAGGGCCAGCAAACTACGGCCCATGGGCCACATCTGGCCCATACCAGCTTTTTGGGGTCTGCAAGCTAAGAGTGGTTTTTACATTTTTAAATAGTTGACCCCTGGGCTAGATTATAGAGAGAATACTGATGCAGGAGCAGCAAGCAGCTGCTAGCTGATGACACCAAGTCACTCTAACATGACAGAGAAGTTGTACCAAAGCATGATAACCACGTCCTTTAGGTAAGAGCCAGCCTTGGTGTGGTTGTTAGAAGACCTCTTTCCCACCCTGGCCACAAGGCTGCCAGGCCGAGTCTCTGAAACCTGAGAAGTGTGGCTGCGGCGTGGTGCATGCCTGCCTACACGTGGTTCCGAGCATGGGTTTGTATTCTCCAATACAGAATCGTTACTGCCAGTGCCCTATCTTAACATCAAACAATCACATCACAGTTTAACTGAATCCTATTAAACCTGTTTCCTGGCACCATGTTTCGTCTGTCACTTCCAGCCTGCCTTTGCTATCTGTGAGGGTGAGTGCAGCTGCAGGTTTCCAGAAAAAAACCTACTTAAGAGAGGGGAAGAGCAGGAATTTTTAAAATAATACTTCTGTGAGGTAGCTACCATCTCAGACACTCTCTTCCACCCTCCCCACACCCCAAACACTGCTACCCTCTCTGAGTTCAGGCTGAGGGAGGTAGGGGGCTGCCCATCACTGCCACTGATGCACTCATTCACTTCTTTCATTCAACAAATGTTTATTAAGTGCCTACAGTGGGCCAGGCACTGTGCTGGGCGCTGGGGATACAAAGTTGGATAATACATGGCCCCTGCCCTCAAGGAGCTCACAGTCTAGGGGGAGGGGCAGACATGTAAACAGATAAATTACAATACGCTATGTTGAATGTCATCGTAGAGGTATAAACAAAGTGCTGGGGGCACGAAAGGGAGCAAGCAACTCTTCCTGGGGGGCGGAGGGATGTCAGGGAAGGCTTCACCGTCAGTCAACACAGTGTCTGGCCGTGCCTTGCATGCCGCGGTGGCACGCACCCAGTGGGGCAGGTTATGTTACCCAAACTTCTCTGGTGCTGGCAGGGCCATAACCTGATCCACGTGGAGCCCCCAGGCTGCTGGAGGAGAGGCCTACTTCTGCGTGCTCATGACAATGTCCCCCACCTCTCTCCTGGGTAACCCTGACTGCCAGGGCCTGGAGGGACTGAGGGCAGCTACTCACCACCCAGGCTGCAGGAAACAGGTCAGCTGTACAAGAGACCAGCTTCAGAGGAACCTTGAAGGGGCTCAGAGCCAGAAAACAAATTCCTGCTTGTGCGTCTCCCCAACCCCCCACCCCCAGGTACCTGTCTGTGAGGTTACTTCCTTTCTCAACATTGTTCAGGAGACACCAGGCTCCTGATCTATTGCTTGTCTTCCTTCTCCGGTGCTTGTCTGATCAGGCACCAGACACTACCTCAACTGGCCTCGGTCCAGGGCTGGGCATCACCGCCCTGGGGTGCCCCCCACGTGGAAGCCCACTCCTGTTCACACAGACCCCGCACAGCAGGTGTTCTGCAGCTTGACTTCCTTCCTCTCTGAACTCACAGCCGCCTCACCAGCTCAATGAGCTGCTGGATGTTTTTGTTTTGGTTGGATAGACCATTCCTGATGTTTTCTAGCAGGCATCTCTTCAACTCAAAAATGGCTTCACTGTATCCCAAGCTCACAGCAGCCATGGGGGGCACCCCATGCCACAGACCAGGAATGTGCCAGACATGCTGTTTCTCAGGGTCACCAAAGGCCACATCGGCCAGTGTCCGGACACCATCCCCTCGTGTCTCCCCACAGGCCACAGCCAGGCCCCCATCACTCAGTGGCTCTGGGCACTGCCTCCCATCTCTCAGCTGGGGGTTGGGGGCAGATGTGCCATGAAGGTTCTGGTACACAAACTGATAGCTGGGAGCGTGCCCTGTGGTCTCCAGCCTCAGAAACGCATGCAGAAGAGCCAGCGGGACATCCCTCGTTTCCGCTAAACTGACCACAGTGACGTTGCTCAGTCCCATAATCAGAGTGGCCAAGGAGGCCTCCAGCTCAAACCTCTCCCCTGTCGTGGTCAACGCCCCACCAATCCAACCTCCCGAGTCTATCACTAGGATGTGATCACAGCCCAGGTCCTGGCTGAAACCTTCGGCCACTTCCACAAGCTGCATGAAGGCCCCCCGAGGGCTGCTGCTCTTCCCAGTGGCAAACCGCAGCCCAAACATGGTGTTGAGCAGTGTGGACTTGCCTGTGCCTGGTACCCCCAGCACAGACAGAACCACCAGGCGTGACCTCCTCTCCAGCCGGGTGTGCAGCTCCTTCAGCAGCCCAGTGACCCAGCGCAGGGGGACACTCAGGCTGCCCCCGTCCACCAGCTCCAGCGGAAGCCCCCTCAGCAGCAGCTCCAAGGCAAGGCCCGGGAAGTGGGCGAACCGCCGCTGGCCCACTGGCAGCTTCCCCGCCTCCACCAGGCAGCTTTCAGCTTCGTAGAACTGCCCCATTTCCCGCAGGAAGTGCTCCACCCCTAGGGGATCAGGCCAGAGGGGCTCTGTGGCGTCCACGGCCCCACAGTGCTTGGACCTCAGGCTGAGAAGAGTCTCTGGAGGGGGCCTCAGCCTCTGCTGGGCCAGGCGAGCCAGGCCTAGCTCCATCCACCTCAGGAAATACTGCTTCTCACCTGGCGAGGGGCTGCTGATGCCCCTGACAAACTCCTGCACCCCCCAGGTGGGGTCGAGGCTGTTCTGCTGCGCCCGAAGCTCCAGTAACCTGCCCCTCAGCTCAGACCTGCACTTCTCGGGAGAGTCTCCAGCCCAGTGAAGCTGGCAGAGCTCCTTCTCTACCTGCGCCACCTTCCTCCAGGGCTCTCCTTGCAGCCGCAGCTCCTCCCTTTTGTAGGCCTCAGGATCTCTGATTTTCCTGGTGATTTTCTCCATCCGCTCTTTGGCCTTCTGGCACTCCTCACAGTCCTCGTCCACTCTGAGGCCCAGCTTGCGGGCCGCGTGTGCCATGTCCTCTACGGACACCCTCCTGCAGGGGGACCGCATCACGCAGCGCACAATGGACTGCAGCCTCCTCACGAAGCTCTCGCTGTCCGTGCTGCTGACCTTCACCAGAACATGAGAGTAGTCGATTTTCAACACAGGGATCAACTTATTCAGGAACCTAAGGTTTGTGTTCCGCTTCCCACGGTAGGGACTAAGGATGAAATAGTATTTCGTGTTTGACTCCTTCATAGAGAAGAGTAGTTTGTACTCCTTCTTACTGATGTTGTCAGTCAGTATAAACACGGCTGAGGAGATATCTGTCAACAACTTAAACTGCAGCCAATGAGACCCGATGTCACCTCTCAGGTTTATGAAGGCCACAGGCTCTGGGAAAATGTCCAAGTCCTCCCTACCACTTGGGAAAAACCAGGAGATTTCGACAAGCCCATCTGCGATCTCCCGTGGGCTGGCGCCCAAGTTCAGGTCCCGATGCCAGAAGCAGTCACGCAGCCTGCGGCCTGGGCTGAGGACAGCATTGAGAAGCTGCGACTTGGAGTTGCTGCTTACGTCCATACGCACAAAGGCAAAGGTGGGCATCCTGGGGAGGACCACACTGTCCTCTTTGAAGCTCCCCGGCCCCCTCAGGGGCTGCAACCACCATGTCCTCACTAGTCCCCTCAGGGCCCACAGCAGAAACATGTGGTAGTGGTTTTCTGAGTCAGGCAACACAAGAGGGAGTGCAAACTGGCAGAGGAACATTTTTAAAATGATGTCCTGTTGCAGGAAACTGTCTGAGGAGACCAGAAGGGCACAGAGGAGGTCCAGGGGGTTCACTGGAGTGTCTGGGGTAGGCAGCTCGGAGAAGGAATAAATGTCAGCGGCAATGTTGTCGGCCGTGTCCCAGTAGAGGACCTCCTCCTCCATCTGGCCCTCCTCCCCGGGCCGGGCGTCCGGGGGTGCGTCCAGCACCATGGTGGTGTTTCTGGCCTCAGCATTGAGGGCCTGCAGCTTTCTGAGGAAGTTCCAAGGCAAGTCTTTGGGTACCTGAGGAGCCCAGTTCTTCATGCTGTCAAAACTGATCTGCAGAGAATCCTGGAGGGTGAGTTTCTGCATCTGGTAGGTCTCGAGTCCCAGAAGGGACAGCATTTCTTGAAGCCGGCTTCTCTCAACTGTAGAAAGAAGTGAATAAGTAAGTGCCCACACTGTATCCCCACATCAAGAGCCCAGGATGGAGCCGGGGAAGGACAGCCAAACACAAGAGGTGGGCTCCCAAGGCCTCAATTCAGGGGTTGGGGGGTAGGACGAAGGCTGTGCCAGGTCACAGAGCAGGTCATAGCAGGCTGGCCTGAGACCAGAGCCGGGGTTCTAGACCCTGACACTGGAGGTAAAACAGGCTCAGCCCAAGTGCTGAGTCCAACCACAGATACTGTGGCATCAAAAACCGTGGCAAGAAACAGGAAACTGCTGGCCACGTTTAAGAATTGGGAAATTTCATATAAAAATCTCAATTCCCGGTTTGTCTTGAAAAACTGAAATAGCTAACAACACTGAGTGTAAATTTAATTGGCTAGAGTGAGCAGCAGCTCCCCCCTTAGATGGAGTGTGCAGCCCCATCTCCCAGCCCCCATCCTACTCGCCCATGGATGTTCCTGGGTCCAGCAGTGGCTCCCTAGTCCTGGCCCCACATTCTGGGGCTCAGCAGTGGGCTCCCTCACTATGTCACCAGGAATTTCCGACTCATTCCATGATTTTCTAGTTAATGTTATTTCCTCTTTGCAAATAAGTTGGAGGGTTTTTAAAAGAAAAACGGAAGGAGAGATATTACTAGGCATTGCTGTGTGCTGCCGAGTCGATTCTGACTCATAGTGACCCTACAGGACAGAGTAGAGCTGCCCCATAGGGTTTCCTAGGCTGAAATCTTTATGGGAAGAGATGTCAGGTCGTTTCTCCCATGGAGCGGCAGGTGAGTTCAAACTGCTGACCTTCTGGTTGGTAACCAAGTGCTTAACCCCCGCACCACCAGGCTCCTTATTACTAGACATAGATTATCAGAAATCATAGCTAAACAACCGTTTTGCAAATCTGAGACCAATAAAACAGTTTTTAATTTTTAAAGTAGTAAACTTTTTGGTGCAGACTGTTAATAAGTCTGTGTTTACTTGTGCAGATCTTCAAACAGCACCCAATACAACATAAACTCTTACAGCTGCTAAATGCTCAAAACAGTGATGCTTCTTCCAAAGGTGTGATGCTGCCATTCTCATTTCCTGCCCATTCCCAGTTCCTTACCAGTTTCCATATTGCATGTAATTAGTATACTTTAAATGTAAGTACACAAAATAATAAATATAAGTAAGTGCCTCTGAGTCCCAGGCCTTTCTCCATCTCCTTTCTCAAATAAGGAAGCCATACTGTGGCCTGCTGCCTTAGATGCAAACAGTAAACCACTAGCACGAGCACAGATAAACCCAGCCATCTTCTGATGCTACCAAGGAGGTCAGGTGACATGCTCTAGCTGACCAACCGGACTCACGGCATGGGAACACGGCTATCGCATTCCCCAGCAGGGCCTCCATCTATTGCCTACTGTCTCTTTTCTTAGACTCAGCTCTCCTCAAGGGGCTCAGAGAGCTCCCAGGGCAGTGTGGCTGCAGTTCCACCCCCAGAGAGGACAAGGCGCTGGTGAACAAGGTGCAAAAGCCACAAGGCACTGCCTGGGGAAAGTCACACTGAGGCAGAAATCCTGTACAGATGCCACTCAGGGTTCTGAGTTTTGCCTGAATGAAACCAGGGACACTGTTTTCTTATCCAGGCATGGGACAACTGTAATTACTTTTAAGTAGCATGGTAGTAGGGGTCAACGGGGAAAAGCCAGAGCAAACAAAACCTACTTATATATGCACTCCTGTCCAATGTGTGACCCTGGGCAAGGTGTTTGGCAGCTCTGGGCCTGTGGCTTCTGAACTGTAAATGTAGCCACTGGGCCAGATGGCTACAAACCTGGCTGTGCATTAGAATCGCTCTGGGAACTTGTGAACAATAAAAGCTTCCTTGACTTCCCCTCTGAAGATCCTAACCTACAATGTCGGGATGGAGTCCAGTTATCCTATATTGTTAACAAGCTTGGACAATAGAGTATTATTGTTAATGAAGCAGAAAGGGTTAAAGGACAGGGGATCCTCAATCTGAGTGACCTGCCTTACCTGTCTCCCCACGTGATTTTGATGTACCCCACCAGCCTAGATAATACTCCCTTCTCAATAGAACCACAAGTTAGAATAGAGATGGAAAAAAATAGAGAATGGCATACCTGTTGGAAAGTCATTGTCCTGAGCCTCATTTGTACCATCTATGGCAAAAGCAGAGGAAAAACAAAATATCAATCAAATAATATGGCTTTGTTTGACAAAAAGTAAGTTGAGCTAAACTCAGAACCCTCCTTCTTTCTTACTAAGAAGCAACTTCTCCCAATTGTTCAAAATATACAATTTCACTTATTTCTCCCACTTCACCCATGCCCCGTTCTCCCCCGATCCAATCTGTAGTTAGATCCTGTAGTTTCTACCTCCGTAAGGAGACTCGCAATCATCTCCCTCCATATCTCTCCATTCCAAATCTGGAAGAAGGAGAAAAAAACACACGTATTTAGTTTCATGAACAAGTTAGAACTTTTCCATCAAAAAAAGGCTGTGGTGGTTGATTTTTAAAAAATTTTAGTGCTATTTTTACTGGCTTCAATTTTTCCTATGTAAACTTAATTTTTTCCAACCCAAAATAGGATACAGAGTAGCAACAGCTACACACAAGATAATGGTTTGCTCTAGGATACACTCCATGTTGAAGTTGCTAAATTTTGTGAAAATAAAATAAAAATAACTGGACAAAAATTATAATCTTTGATTTTAGAAATATTTAAAATGTAAGCTGATCATACACTTCTTGGCTCAATTTCAACCACCTCTTATGAACACTATTTTTACTCTATCGTAGTTTTTGTAATCACTTAAAGTGATGCTTACAGCAGCAGTGTAATACTTTGTCTATGTATGGGGGGGCATGCATAGTAGGGGAAAGGTTGACTTACAAGTAAACTTATTTGGCTAAAGTCTCTACTATCATGATACATCCATCAACATTAATATTTTAAATACAGACTGTATAGTGCTATACAAATACTTACATTAAGGGGAAGGAAGAAGACCTTAGAAATCCTGTATATTTGCTTGCAAATCCATAATATAAATTACAAAACGGGGCAGTGGGGGCAAGACTTCTCTGTATATCTGTTTTTACTGTTTGACTTTTGATCCAAATAAAAGCATTACCTATTCAAAAATATAAAGTATATCCTTAAAAGCTTGTAAATCAAGAAAACATTCTGAAAATTTATAGCAATAAGGCCTACATTAAAAAAACAAGAAAGATCTCAAATAAATACTCTAACTCTACAGCTTGAGGAACTAGAAAGAGAAGCACAAACTAAACCTAAAGCTACTAGAACAAAAGAAATAATAAAGATCAGAGCAGATATAAATAAAATAGAAAACAGGAAAACAGGACAGAGAATTAACAAATACAGACGTTGACTTTGAAAACATCAATAAAATTGACAAACCACTTACTAGGGTGGCAAAGAAACAGAGAAGATGCAAATAAGCAAAATAAGACATGAAAGTGGAGATATTATAAATGACCCAACTGAAGTGAAAACGATCATAACAGAATATTATGAACACCTTTACTCCAAAAAAACCAATAACTTTGATGAAATGGACAAATTCCTAGAGACATATAACCTACCTAAGCTGCCTCAAGAGGAAGTAGAAAACTTCAACAGACCCATAATAAGCAAAGAGACTGAATCAGTAATAAAAAGCCTCCCAAAAAAGAAAAGTCCAGGACCAAACAGCTTCATTGGGAAATTCTATTGAACGTTCAGAGAAGAACTGACACCAGTCCTGTTCAAACCCTTCCAAAAAGAAAGAAGGAATACTCCCTAACTCTTTTTATAAAGCCAGCATCACTGTGGTAACAAAACCAGACAAAGATACCACAAGAAAACTACAGACCAATATCCCTTATGAGTACAGATGCCAACATTTTCACAAAATACTAGCAAACAGAATCCAACAGCATATTAAAAGAATTATACATCATGATCAAATGGGATTTATTCCAGGAATGCAAGATTGGTTTAACATTAGAAAATCAATCAATATAATATACCACATTAACAGAACAAAGGAAAGAATCACATTATCATCTCAATCAATAGAGAAAAGACATTCGATAAAATCCAGCACCCTTTCTTGATAAAAACTCTTAACAAGATAGGAATAACAGGAGAGTTCCTCAACACGATTAAGGGCATTTATGAAAAACTAACAGCCAACGTTATGCTCAATGGAGAAAGACTGAGAATTTTCCTCTTGAAAACGGGAACAAGACAAGGATGTCCACTCTCACCACTCATATTCAATATTGTACTGGAAGTCCTAACCAGAGCAATAAGGCAAGAAAAAGAAACAAAAGGTATCCGAACTGGAAAGGAAGAGATAAAAATATCCCTATTCACAAATGACATGATCCTATATATAGAAAATCCCAGACTCTACAAAAAAGCTTCTAAAACTAATACAAAAATTTAGCAAAGTTGCAGGATACAAGGTCAGCACACAAAAATCAGTTGAGTTTCTATACACCAGCAATGAGAAATCTGAAAAGGAGATTAAGAAAACAACTCCATTTACAATAGTATCTAAGAAAATAAAATATCTAGGAATAAATTTATCCAGGGATATGAAAGACTTATACAATGAAAATTATAAAACACTCCTGAAAAAGATTAAAGAAGACCTAAATAGATGGAAAGACATTCCATGTTCACAGACTGGAAGACAATATACCTAAGACGTCAAAACTACTGAAAGTAGTCTACAGATACAACACAATCTTGATCAAATTTCCAACAGCATTCTTTATGGAAATGGAAGAACTAATCCTCAATTTTATATAGAAAGATAAGAGACCCCTTCGAAGAAGAACAAAGTAGGAGGCCTCACACTTCCAGAATTCAAAACATACTAAACAGCTACAGTAATTATGAGTGAGTGTTAGAAGCGCTCACTCGTCTATGCCTAGAAAGTTGGAAGACAGCTATCTGGCCAACTGACTGGAAGAGATCCGTTTTCATGCCTCTTCCCAAGAAAGGTGATCCAACTGAATGCAGAAATTAGCAAACAATAGCATTAATATCACATGCAAGTAAGATTTTGCTGAAGATTATTCAAAAGCAACTGCAGCAGTGTATCGACAGGGAACTGCCAAAGATTCAAGCCAGATTCAGAAGAGGAAGTGGAACGAGGGATCTCACTGCTGATGTCAGATGGATCCTGGCTGAAAACAGAGAATACCAGAAAAATGTTTACCTGTGTTTTATTGACTATGCAAAGGCATTTGACTGTGTGGATCATAACAAATTATGGATAATACTGAGAAGAATGGGAACTCCAGAACACTTAATTGTGCTCATGAGGAACCTGTACTTAGACTAAGAGGCATTTGTTAGAACAGAATAAGGGGATACTGCATGGTTTAAAGTCAGGAAAGGTGTGCGTCAGGGTTGTATCCTTTCACATACTTTTTCAATCTGTATGCTAAGCAAATAATCCAAGAAGCTGGACTATATGAAGAAGAATGGGGCATGAGAATTGAAGGAAGACTCATTGACAGCCTGTGACATGCAGATGACACAACCTTGCTTCCTGAAAGTGCAGAGGACTTGAAGCACTTACAGATGAAGATCAAAGACCACAGCCTTCAATATGGATTACGCCTCAACATAAAGAAAACAAAAATCCTCACAACTGGACCAGTACGCAACATCACACTAAACGGAGAAAAGATGGAAGTTATCAAGGATTTCATTTTACTTGGATCCACAATCAACACCCATGGAAACGGCAGTCAAGAAAATAAATGATGCATTGCATTGGGCAAATCTGCTGCAAAAGACCTCTTTAAAGTGTTGAAAAACAAAGATGTCACCTTGAAGACTTAGGTGTGCCTGACCCAAGCCACTCAGTTTTCAATCACCTCATATGCATGTGAAAGCTGGACAGTAAATAAGGAAGACTGAAGAAGAATTGATGCCTCTGAACTGTGGTGTTGGCAAAGAATATTGAATATATGATGGACTACCAAAAGAATGAACAAATCTGTCTTGGAAGAAGTACAGTCAGAATTCTCCTTGGATGAAAGGATGGTGAGACTACATTTTACATACTTTGAACATGTTGTCAGGAGGGATCAGTCCCTGGAGAAGGACATCATGCTTGGTAAAGAGTCAGCGTAAAAGAGGAAGACCCTCAATGAGATGGACTGACACAGTGGCTGCAACAATGGGCTCAAGCATAACAACGATTGTGAGGATGGCGCAAGACTGGGCAGTGTTTCGTTCTGTTGTACACAGGGTTGCTATGACTTGGAACCAACTCGATGGCACCTAACAACAACAGTAATAAAAACACTCTGGTACTGGTTTAATGACAGACACAGACCAATGGAATAGAACCGAAAATCCAGAAATAAATGCAAACATCTATGGTCAATTGATTTTTGAAAAGAGTGCCAAATACATTCAGTGGGAAAGGAACAATCTCTTCATCAAATGGTGCTGGCAAACCTGGATTTCCACACACAGAAAAATGAAACAAGATCCACACCTTACACCATACACAAAAACAAATTCAAAATGGATCAAGAACCTAAATGTTAAATCTGAAACTATAAGTTCTTGGAAGACGATCTAGGAACAAAGCTTTGGGATCTTTTTTCAGTGATAGATTATCAAACACAACAATGAATGCAAGAGCAACAGAAAACAAAATATATAACTGGAACTACATAAAAGTTAAATACATATGTTCGTCAAAGACTTTACCAAACAAGAAAAAACCTACAGACTGACAAAAAAATCTTTGGAAAGGATATAACTGGTAAGGGTCTATCATCTAAAACATATAGAAAACTACAACTTAACAAAAAGAAAAATAACCCAATCAAACACTGGGCAAAGGACATGAACAGACACTTCACCAAAGATGATATTCAAATGCCAACAATTACATGAAAAGATGCTCAACGTCATTAGCTACCAGGGAAATATAAATCAAAACCATGATGAGATACCATCTCATGTCAACTAGGATGGTCAAGATAAAAACAAACAACAATAACAACAAAAAAGAAAATAACAAGTGTTGGAGGGGACGTGGAGAAATTGGAACCCTTATCCATTGTTGGTGGGAATACAAAATGGTACAGGTGTTGTGGAAAAGTCTGGTGGTTCCTCAGAAAACTGGACGTAGAGCTACCATAAACCAAATAAAAAACCAAACCCATTTCCATCACGTCGATTCTAACTCATAGTGACCCTACAGGACAGAGCAGAACTGCTTCATAGGGCTTCCAGGACTGTAATCTCTACAGAAGCAGACTACCACATCTTTCTGCTAGGAAGTGGATGGTGGGCTCAAACCGCCAACCTCTGGATTAGCAGCCAAGCACTTAACCACGGTGCCACCAGGGCTCCTTAGAGCTGCCATGTGACCTAGC